AGGGAGCGGACTCTCTTCCAGAACTTAGAATGTGTTTGTGTTGAGATTGGATTCTTAGAGAGCGGATCCGTTTCGTTACTTTTTCCCTGTCTGTGTGAATGTTCTATTCATGAAACTGTCTTGGGAAAACAGAGTGTCTTCAGTCAGAAGCTTCTTCAAATTCACTGTAATACAGACCGCTACAAGAGATCTTTCCTATCTATTGTCCAGCCATCACTATCTACAGTAACTCTTTGAAGAATTAATGAGTTATAGCATTTAATTTCCCTTTGGGATCAATAAAGTATTTCTGAATTTGAAAACAGATGGATTTGCTAAAAGCAGCAGTAGCTAATCTGCCACCACTGTTTTAAATTAGCTAAAAGCAGCAGTAGCTAATCTGCCACCACTGTTTTAGATTAGCTAATAGCAACGGCAGCTAATCTACCACAGGTATCACTTATTAATAAAAGCAAAAACAAACAATCAGCCTAAAACCATATTAATAATCCTGTACCAGACTGAATGTTCTGTTCTTTGTGGGGGAAAAGTATGGCGCTGTTGCCAGTTGCTATGGCAACGAGTCTGTGCGTAGCGTAGCTACCGACCCAGAGAGCGAGAAAAAAATACGACCTGTTTTACGTTCTTAACGGGTTTTCTGAGTTATTTTTCCATTTGCTGTGGGGCGAACTGAACTAATACATGCATCTCTTGGTTTTATTTTGTTCTACGGCAAACAGGCTATAGATGGCCAAAAGAACGGTCGTTTTGCCCTTCAGCTTTGTGCGCATGCGCGACGTTTCCAGGTATAAATGAGTGTTGCTGCTGTTTATCTCATGCTGTTTATTACAGCCTGGAGCGACATGTAAACAGACACAGGAGGAGGCGATTACCTGCTGCCTCACATGTTCATGTTATAAAACAATCTCTTGATCTGCAGTAATACCATTAATGAGACTGCTTTCCAGAAACAGTCTCATTAAACAAATAAATAAAAACGGTAATAACGAGAAATGGTCATTAACTGGAATTATAATGTGCTTTTCTAAAACTAACTGAAGCATACTGAAGTTACACATATAATAACCTGGTTGATTATTTAAATTGTAACAATACATTTTTGCCATGTTCTAAGTAAAATAATCTGCCAATGGAACTAGCACATTCCTATCAATATTAATTAATTATTGACTTAAAACAAGCTCCTAAATCTTGCTGAAAGGTAACTTGTGAGTTAGGTTTGTCTTATTTCCAGTGTACTAAGGTATTTGCACAAGAAACTAGACCAAAAATACTTAGTAAAGTAAGATTTTGTGTTTTTGCAGTGCAATCTACAAACAGAACCTACACATTCCACTCTGTCATTATTTATTTAACAGAAATTAAGTCAATAAGAAGATTACTAGGAAGCTAAACTCATCCAGGACAGCTGCAAACTTCATGTAAAACAGCTGAATGTCAAACTCTACAGACAATTTGGGATGATTTCAGTATTGACCTATTAAAAGAAAGCAGGATTATGGATAAATATTCATGTTGGGGACTTAATATCCTTTTGAAAACTTTGTGTGACTCCTGGCAGTTAAACTTTTACGCCTCGTTTTTGAGCCTCTTGTTTGGAATTTGATTTCACACAGTGAGACAAAACAGGACACAGTAGCTGCGAGTCCAAATGGAGAACAATGCTGTGGTGCTTGATGAATGGTTGTTGTTTTTCAGCACAAGAGGAAGTCACGCCTATATAAGGAGTTTGTGGCCGACGCCCCAAACCCCTAATGAGCACGTGCAGAAAGAGAGATGTGACCGCAGTGATTTGGGGGCCGTGGTGTCGCTGCAGTTGCCACCTCCGAGGCCTTCAAAGAAAACCAGAAACGGTGACGTCCGCGGCACATTAGCGTGCCGTAATCAGGTTGCCGGCGCACGTGACCCGGATTCTGTTCTGGTCCAGTTACTCTGTGAGTTACTCTGTGATGTGATAAACGTCCTGCAGAGCACCCCGCTGCCCTCGACATGAAATTACACACATTAAACGCGGCACCTTGCACGCTAAAAGTGAGAACGCAGCAACCAGATAAGAGGTCTGGGATCTCCTCATCTAACTGGGAGCACTGGTGCCTGGATTTGGCACTGGCCATGGAGGGAGGGAGGAGTGCTTTGGGAGAGGAGGAGTGTTTGGGACAGTCAGAGGGAAGTTAGAGAAGCTGCACACAATTTTGACAGATTGGAGGAAGACAGAAGCTGCTTGATGTTAGAAAAACAATTTCTCTATTAAAAACCTTTTTTTTAGTTTAATTTTAAATTATTTATTCTTTCTCAAAACTTTTTTCACTTTCCAGTGTGTCCTTTTACATATTTTAGCTTTTTTTGTTATTTTTTTGAGAGTGTGTGAACGATGGAGCTGGAACATTTACGGGGCGTGGGGGTTAAACCTGAGCGGGGCACCAATCGCCTCTACAAGATCGCCCTGGCCATGTCAGTGTGCGTCTGTGCTGCTTTTCTGCTCGCTCTCATAGTGGGTAAGTCTGCACACACACAAACGTGCTACCCTTTATCCTACATTATAAACTGTGGGGAATCTGCCGTATGGTACAGAAATGTCCTGTCCTCGGACTGTAGGACATGCAGCGTTTCAAAACAAAACAGCGCGCTGGTGGTGGAGAGGTGTTGGGTAACATGAGTCAAACTATTTTTGGGTCACATAAGGTTTCATGTGGCAAGAAGGAAGGAAAAGGAAAAACCTGTTTGGTTTAAATATTAACAGGTAGATTTTTGTATTTAAAAATTGATCTCTCATTGTCACAGGTGTCTCTTTTAGTTCACGTCATGTGTGTATTCATTACTTCCTCTTGTATTTATGCATTTATACATAAAGTTTTATTAGAAAGCGAAGACATACTGAACCAGATCAGTGGCTGTTTCTAGTTGATTTCCATCTGCAGTCCCAGCGGCAGGTTCAGGAAAAGTTGAGAGGAAGTAGAATAAACTATAAGAAATTAAAACGTAAAAATTAAACCACTTATGAAGTGTACAAATGAACAAATATTGGATCCATTAAGTGTGTGCGTAGCTTTTGAACTTTGACTAGGCCATTATAACTGGAGTATCCTTTAATGTAGTCAGTTTTACTGTTGCTCTGGATGCATTTTTGCCCAGTTTCAACTCTTTTCTTCCAGACTCACTTTAAGTTTATCAACTGATTTTATGCCACCACTGTGTTTCTCATGGAAGTGGTTTACTGATTTCCATGTTGGTCTCATCAGAATAGAAAACCTTCTTCCACATGTTTACCTCCCTGCAAACCTATATAAAACTTTAGGACTTTTCTTATTCCATAAATGAGCAGTTTGTGGGGAAAATAAATGATCAGAGTTGGTCAGCAGCTACTTACATTTGCTCAATAAATTTCCTTCTAACTTTTTTGAAAGGAGTATTTTTGCATTTTTTACTTGAGTAATTTTATTAAGAGTAAACTTACTTGAGTAACATTTCTGGATTCTCTCCCCACTGAACAGAGAAACAAACATGTTTTAACCAAAAGTTCACCAGACAGACAGTTTTTAGCAAAGTGTCACTAGTTTTTTATTGAAAGAAACTGATTTGGAAACATTTTCTTTAGCCTGATTTTATTTATTTATTTTGTTACTTATATGAATTGTCATTTTTGTCCTTAAAATTCTGAAATTTCTGCTTTTGGTCGTTCTGATTATGCAATTTTTTAAAGAAGTTATGAGACACAGCAGTGAAACCTGAAAGTTACTCAACTGATTGTTGCTAGGTAATCAAAGAATGAGTGGGTTGCTAAGTAACCAAAGAATGAGCGGGGTGCTAGGTAACCAAAGAATGAGCGGGTGCTAGGTAACCAAAGAATGAGCGGGTTGCTAGGTAACCAAAGAATGAGCGGGTTGCTAGGTAACCAAAGAATGAGCGAGTTGCTAAGTAACTAAACAATGAGCGGGTTAATTCCACCAACCTAGTTTGGCTGGCCGTCAGAGGTGGAGCAGCTTAAACCTTTTCTGCCTACATCTCCCAGAATGCTGTGCGGTTTGGGATTGGAGTTCAGTGAATATTCCATCAGATGCATCATCTTTTGATATTGATCTGTTGCGACACACATTGTTGATCTATTGTCAGCCCTTGCTCAGATGCAACTTTGTAACCTAAGCCTTGATCCTGTTTTAGACAGAACAGACTTCCTGGTTTCTCTTTTAAAAAAGGCAACATTTGTTCGGGTTCTGGACTTTGCAACATTTGGAGTCATTTTTGGACGTTCTCTTGTAGATTTACAATCATTTTCTTTGGTAGTTTCATCTGTCAGGCAGATGGCTTTACTTTTAACTCAGGGACACGTTATTAACTCAATGACTGCATCTTTATCTGGTAAACAAGCCCAAACTGGTCATTATGGGCATGGATCTCTACAGCGGACCACTGGTATTCAGGCTCAAACATCTGCAAGTAGCTGTAATAACGTCAGATACCGTTTGAATGCTTATTACTGCCTGTTTTAATGGTTAAAACACCAATTATACATTGATATGCTCAGTAGGAAACATTTGTAGTCTTTCTTGTCATTGCTCTTGGGGGCTCAGTCAATCAACGCCAAGGAAAATGAATGGCACTCCAGGATTGGCTGCTGTGATTGGACGTCATGAACCATTGCACCCTGTAATTTCAGCTGTAACCAACTTTTTTGAGCTTTTCGTCATGTTATGATGTTATTCCCACATCAAAAACATACCTGGAGTGTTGCTTTGATTCTTTCATGCATGGCTAAGAAATCCTTTAATCTCCATGGTAACCATTCAGCTCTCCCTCACTCAGTTCCTTCAGACTAGCCTGCAGTAATTAGCAAACACCTGGTGGAACTGTAAATCAGCTGAGCTCATTATAGGAGCTACTTCTCAGTGAAACACTGCTAAACGGTAAATAGAGGAGTGATGTGGAGATGACTTCCTGAAAGCAGAGTTTCAGAACGAGCAGGAGCTTCTTAAATAGACAGAGGCCCAATTTCAAGTTTTACAACAACTGAAGTTAACATTATATAATACTGCCCCTTTAACTGAGAGATGTAAGGAAATATGCCTGGTTAATTGTTGTGGGTTTGATCTAAACATGGTAAAAAACTAAAGAAGTGCAGAAATATGCATTTTATTTATCATTTGATTAAACTGAGTCATCCATGCTCATCTGTAAACCTTTAAAGGATGATGAATATCTTTTAAAAATGTTTTTTTAGGACGTTCAGCTCGGCATTTCATGTGCTGATGTGCAGCAAAGCCAATGAGCTATCCACTTCCACTGGAAACAATTACATTTCCCAATATGTGGAGTTTAGGGGGCATGGAAACGGCATCAGTGGTTGCAGTGCTGTGTGGTTCCAGCGATGGTCATAGCTGCAGGGGCTCATGCGTTGGTCTTGGGTGGGGTGAGTATTGTCTTTTTGTTATTGAGGGAAAGCTGCATACTTGTGGCCACACTGAAGTGCAATATGTGCCCAAGCTGGCAGTTCCAAACTCCCACTCTAATGGAAACGCTGCTTGAGTTTCCAGCCAAGTGAGGGAAGAGAGACTCGCTCTGCTTTGATTTACTTACGAGTCATTAATTAACAGAGTTTGACTCTTTGATGCGAGTTTGCATCCATCAACGGGTCGTTAGCTGCTTGTTTTTGGTGATATAAATGTGCATGTTTGAATCAAAAGTGACCACAACGTTGAGGGATTCTGCAAAGCGGCTCCAAGACACGTGAAGCTCTGAGGTCAGACATCACGGCGCAGTCCGGTCCTGGTCCGGTCATCAGCTTACAATAGGAGTTTGGTTTCCAAATACACTGCGCCAGCTTGCTTCATGTTTTTTTTTTTTTTTTGCAACTCTTGTTTACCACAGAACCACATCACACCAGACGTTAGAGACTCGAACTTTCTAGAAAGAGTCGAGTAACGGAAATGAACCGGTAAACCTGCAGTTTATTCTCTGCTGCCAGGAGAATAAACATTGTGTGGATTACAGTGGTTTTATTTTAGCTTCTGCTCGCCCTTATTACAGCTGTGTGGAGTAATAATAACTTACAGCAGAGCTGAGGAGGACAATAAAGGAGAAAAGTCTCCATAACTGTCAATTCATCCATAGGGAAAAACTAATTAGATTCTCACTCAAAGTTTCCTGGTGCTGCACATCAGATGCCCTCTCATCCAATTCATTTAGAAAATGCTTTATTAGTCCCAGAGGGAAATTAAATGTGGTTGTAACTCATTACAATTTTCTTCAGAGTTGCAGCAGTTCATGCTGATGAACTGTGTAGCAGTCAGTATTACATAAGACCTAAAGAAGCCTCTGACTGAAGACACGAGCTGTAGTTTCATTATAAATGTACGCAAAACTTTTATAATGTTAAAAAGAAATGTATGATAATTGTGTTGTAATTTTATTTTTTATTGTTTGTTTTGATAATATTTTTGTTGTCAAAATCTGTGTAGTTAGTCCAGATTGGGGTAGTAATAGGAGTATTTCTCCTACGCTGTACTATTTACTTGAGTAAAATTTCTGTATTTTCTACCTACTGAATAAAAAACAAACATTCACCAGAAACTGCAGTTTTTATTGAAGTTTCCAGGGGACATGGGGAATTATTTTTCTTTTGCGTCCCCTCGCAAAAGGTTTTGCATTCGCTCGCAATAATGTACTGATTATTTCAGTTCATGCGGCATAATTGAATACTGTAAGCCTTTCGTAAGGTTTTTCCATGAATGCTAATATCTCGTGAAATAACAGACGTTTTATATCTTTTTCTTTAGTATAGAAAGGCACAACAAACCTATGATATAAACAGAAACTTTCCGTAAGTAGGAAAGAAATAAAAATGGATCCAAACTATTTGGACTATTTCTGAGTTATTATCGTGGGGTAATAAGTCATCAGACAGTTTTAATTGTGTCTCTATCGTGTTCGTGTCTGAATGGTTTAAAGCGGTGTTTTTCAACCACTGTGCCGCGGCGCACTAATGTACCGTGAGTGATCGTCAGCTGTGCCGTGGAAATTATCCAATTTCACCTACCATATTTTCCCGGACTATAAACTGCTACTTTTTTCCTACAATTTGGGCTTTTTTGCTCTTTAGCAGGAAGTGAATCATTGGAAGTCAAAATTGGAAATCAAAGAAGAAAGTGCTAATTTTCATTTAGAACAACCACATGCTAGCAGCAGGCACGATGGAGAAATGTTTTCAAACTCATATGGTGCAGCTTTTAATTTGAGGAATATTGATCTGGCAGTAAAGGAGGGAAATAAAGCCGCTGCACGTAAACTCGGCGTAAACAAAACCGGATTTGGAGACGGAGAACTGCGTCCTTAATGTATCCAGCAGTTATTAGGACGCAGCTCTCTGCTGCCCTCTGCTGGGTCCCTATGGGAAACCAAGAGCGGCAGAGATACCAGCGGCCTGTAGCCCTGTGCGGCTGGTAAGTTTCCAGGGGGCTTCAAAAAATTAAAGGTACGATTTGTAGTATGATGCGCTCATAATCCGGAAAATACTATAATTGGTCTTAAAAGATTTTTTGAAAACGAATTAATTATCTGCAAATAATGCCATCTTTGAGTGTCTGTAGCAGTGACTAGTGGCGTAATCATGTAATTTTATTATCACTAGATGGCAGTAGGTACAGAGCATTTTACATTAAAACAAGAGAATTGTGTTGTGGCTGTTCAGGTGTATTTTTGAAGTGGACATGTTAAGTGCAATTTGAAATAAGAAATGTAAAATATGATAAAAAATACATTTTTGTGTTTATTTGATTCCTATTCAAGACACTTTGATAAGAATGACTATATATGTAATATAGGCGGCTACAGAGTATCTTTGTTTACATTTTTGGTTGGTGGTGTGCCTCTTGAATTTTTTTTCAATTAAAACAATTACCTTGGCTCAAAAAAGTTTGAAGAACATTGGTTAAACACTGGAAAAACACAGGGCTGCTTTCGGTGCCGTTCCATCTCAACCTTAACATGCAGTAAATAAATCGATTTTTCAGTCAGTTTTTTGCACCAAAGCGTTAATAATAATAAA